ACAGTGTTTCTGAAAGTTATGTACAGCGGTAAGGGGATTTTCCCTGTAAAATGACATTTTTCAAGAATTTTTTGTTTTTACATTTCTGTACGGGATTGAAGCCTGCCAGAGTAACCTATGGACTTTTGGTGTGTAGAGAGTTTCTACGGGTTTTTTGGACTACCTAGCGGTCTTTTGTGATTTTCTAAAACCTAACTCAAAATCGCAAAATTTGAATCGTCATTTTTGAAAGCTTCGTTTTTGGTGACTGACTTACAGAGTAAGCTTAATACGTTTCCGGACCGGTGCTGCACATGGTGCAGCACGCGCCTCTCAAAATCTTTTTAGTGTTTGCAGGAAGTTTTCTTTTTGTCCAAGGTTATCAAGTCAAAGGCCTAGGCTCCTCCTTTTCAAATGACTCTGTAAGGCTGTGCCGCCGATATTTGTTCAGAAGATATGAGGACAATTCGAACAACAGTTGCAACGAAGTGCGGCAACGCGACCGACGCGTGCGACGTCGCATCTTTCCTTTGCTTCGACATCAAGGAGAAAAACCTTAGTTTCAATACTGATGTGTATCGTGTACAACATAGATACTTTTGGTTACAACTAGAAACTGATATCTGTTCCTATCTTTCAGGAAAGCACAGAAGTCCTTCTTAAGCGACAAATTTCAAACACTTCGAGTTCACTCAGAACTTTGGGTATGAGTCTTATCTGACATGCTGATTATAGATGTAGAACACAGTATATGAATTAAGGTCCTTTTGTTGACTAACGGCTGAAAGTACCCTCTTTTTCGCCGCGCGCGATTTCGCGGTCCGAAACGTGTTAACACGTTGTTTCGCAGACTGTGGACTACAGCTCTACAGAGTCATTTAAAAAGTAAGAGCTTAGACCTTTGACTCAACAACTTCGGACTTAAAGAAAACCTTCTGCAAACGTCAGAAAAAAAAACCTTCAAACAGCGTGCTGCACCATGTGCAGCACCGGTCCGGAACGTGTCAAACATCTGTTATGGAAAGCGAATTTCCTTTATTTTTGAGATACGTGTAGTCAGTTTAAGTAGGTCTACTCTTTGAAAGGTTATTGTATTTTATTTGAAATACGCAAGCACTTTCGGACCAACCTAATACATATCTGTATAATCTGTATATATATCTGTATATCTGTCTCTAATCAGGGTAGACACTCACGTATTCTATAACTACTATATTTCTTGCTGATATCAAAACTGCCAATGGTTTAATTCCCTTTTTTCACCTCCGTATTTCATCCCAAACTCTGATCAACTCCAGCCTTCTAGCAAAAGACTTTGATTCCCAAAATCAACATATGAGCTCCTTATATAACAATCACAAATCAGCCAATCTCACGGCTGTTACCCTTTCACCTGCTTGCTCACGTCGTGTATAGTTGCTTTATACATTCTGAGTAGGCCTGGTGTCTATGTAGTTTTTTTTTCAGATCCAAGTAACAAATGATTTCTTGGGGCATTGAGTAGTAGTAGTACAATACATAGTTGTGAAAAAAAAGCGAGGAGCTAGCCGGAGTTCGGATTTAGATTGAACGGACTGTGGACTCAGCTCCTCTAGATGCACCTTCCGGTATATTCTTGGTTGTCCTACAAGTTCTGTCGCTTCAATTTTGAACTTTATTTAAACGGATTTGCTTCCTTGTAATTTTTTTTGAAAGAAGAAGTCTCTTTTTGGTAGCAGTTTCATGAGCTTATGCTATACATCCAATGTGGAGATAAGAATGGAAAAGAAGATTATTTAGGCTTTATTTATTTTGAGTTAGGTCGCCAGAATCCGAACGTTGCAGAAAAATCTGAAATTGTCAGTACATAGATATGACCTATCCTTGGCTATAAGAGTTCCTGTTGTTCAGATCTTTCTGCAAAAAAATTATAATTTTCAGGTATCACTTTTCTCACAAACAATCTTGACTCCTTCCAGAAAAGTCTAAACATGAGTAGGGGATTGAATGTCGCCGAAAGTCGGAGGTCCGCCGAACATCTGCAAAATTACATGCAAAGGCTGACTGGGGTAGAGGACTATATGTCGCCGAAAAGGGGCGGTTCCCGCGGTCATTTGCGACAAATACGCACCCTTGTACATGCGCGGACATGCGTTCCTGCAGGGATTCCGCGAGGGACTCTTCCAAATTCGGCGACATATAGTCCTCCCGGCTGACTGTCTGCTGCATTGTTCGCGCTGGACCCTCCTACTTTCGGCAACATATAGTCCTCTACCCTCTAAACATCAAAAGTTTTTCTCAGTTGTAAAGAGTGGGTCACAAAAATTATATACAGACAACTTCAGATTTCTCCACAACGTTCCAAATTCCTGGCTGCAGTGAACATATTACAAGTATAGTATTAGTACACAGTCTATATATTCTCAAAGAAGAAGACCTTTTCTAAAAAAATTACAAAGAAGCAAATTCATCGAGATAGCGAAAAGTTACCAATTTTCGAAGATGAAGCGACAGATTTGAGAGGACCTAATAGATGTGCCTGGTTGGGTACGATGAGTATATGGTAGGTAGCCAATTCTGTCATTTTTCATTGGTGCGTGATGATTACATTAGACTAACGGCATGCCTAACACAACACATTACCTTATGCTGAATACTGACTAACTACGCAGATCCCGTACCCAAACAAACACTTTTACATATCAAAGAATGCTCGGCATCGAGTTATTGGATAAAGCTCCGTGGGTGTAAAAGTAGTTTCCCTTGAAGCGGGATAGGGTTGACGCGCTTTCCACAAATTCCTGCAAAGTTCTCGGTTTCTTTTTCACCTATGAGCGGTATTGTACCATTTGTTTGAGCGGGGTTGGCGGCGGAAAGCAACCGCTTGCATCCGCGACGCAGACTGCGTCTTTCTCGCTAGCGTACTCTCTGGTCATTCTATATCCTTGATTAGGCCTCGAAGCCCCGCCTTCCAGACGCCAATCCCGTTGAATCATAGAGCAGTCGTCAGGGCTCGGGAGGTGGCTTGTTCATGTTTAAAAACGAAGCCCCCACAGACCATGCCACAAAAGAAATAGGTAGGTATACGATATATATATATATACATATACCGTCATATACCTATGACGCGATCATGAACGGATCAAACACGATGAACAAAAAATAATGGAACAGAAGATATAAACAACACTGAACAGACGAAAACGAACTAAAAAATATCTTTCGAATTGGCGGCATGCTATGTCCGGCGCGCAGCATGCGCGCTTGGAGCAGGCTTGCCGTCGTCATACAAAATTTTTGGAGGGCCGTAATTAGGCGAGTAAGAGAAGTTTGGGGAGATTCGAAAACTCAGTTATAGGGTTTTTGATGTAGAACAAAGTTATGTAAAACTCGTGAAAAAATTATGTAAAGAAAAAGAGAATTCATGAGTTGACTAGAAAGCCACATAACTTCGAAAAAAGTTTGCCACGCCTTCGGTTCACATAACTTTTTCGTAGTTTTTCATACATACTCATAACTCCCTATCGCCCATCTATTAGGTCGTCCCATATGTCTTTTCATTTTTGAGTTTACGCTGTAATAAGTCATACACTTCTTATTCTAAGTAGATATCAGGGTACCATTCGATAGAGCAACACAAGCTCTATAAGATAGCATTTATGCTTCTGCACCAGCTTCGGTCCACTTCAAATTCAAAGCCAAAATTTTCTCAAGTCTCGGATGCCCAGAAAATAGAAATTTTTTTTATATCTTCGTTCAATAAAGTCCTACGGATCTTTCATTCGCTCACGCACACACACTCCACATCAGGCACTCATATGTGCTGTTACTGTATTTTTTCATCAGCTAGAAATCAAGAAAACGAAAATTTGTATGATTTTACCAAAGTGATGCTGTGCTGTTCTTACACCAACAGTTGTATACTACAAGCCCCTAGAAGTACAGCCGTAAGTTTTTAGCTCTCTATAAGTTTCAGTTCCCGAGAAATGTTGAGTTCGTGGAGAACCTGAGTGAGGAAAGCTGAATTCGATATTACTCGGGATCAGAACTTATAGGAAGTTAAAAATTTAGTTGTACTTCTAAAGGCTTGTGTATACAACTGTTAGTGTAAGAAGAGCACAACATCACTTTGGTAAAATCAGGTAAATTTTCGTTTTCTTGATTTCTAGCTAATAAAAAAATACAGTAACAGCACATATGAGTGTCTGATGTAGAGTGTACATGCGTGAGCAAGTGAGAGATCTGTGGGACTTTTTTGAACGAGGATATAAAAAATTTTCAGTTTTTCTTAGAATTGGGTTTTAAACTTGAGGTGGATTGAAGTTGGTGCAAAAGCATAGATGCCACTTATAGAGCTTGCTTTGCTCTATCGAATGGTACCCTGACATCTACTTAGAATAAGAAGTGTATGACTTTACACGAAAACTCAAAAATGAGAAGACTTATGGGACAACCAACTTCGGTATCATTTCATTTCCTCTTCTCTGTAAACAAGGCTTTTGTTCCTTCCGGATCAACTTTTTGAATTCGCGCACTTAACCGGCGAACCTGTTCAGGATTTGTTTTCGGTTTTGCAGGAATGGGATCGATAAAGCAGGAATCTGCGTCCTCTATAGAAGATGAAGGGTGACATAAGAGGGAGAAGGTGGTTGTGGAGGGAGGGGGGGGGGGCTCGCAAACGATATCCCTCTTCTTTTTACGCTGGAACGATATCCAGCTTGCCTTTTAAGCCACCTATGTTAAGCTCTGGTGGTCGTTTATATCTGGTCTACATATGTAGGTCGATGTTTGACGCATCGAATCCAAAAATATATATAGTTATAGTTATGTCCGACTAATCTTTATGCCCACTAAATTCGGGTACTTGTGAGATATTCTATTGACTAGTTGAGTTGCGTCCAGAGTTGGTTGTGCCAGCGCCATGCCAGCTCCGTGCTATCACGCTATGGCTCAGCAGACAACTCTGGAAGCCTTAATCGTCTTTACTTTGTGTGGAATAATGAATGCGATGACTAGTCGACTTAAATGATTAGCTAATTTAGATGATGGATGGCGATGTAGTTGCAAAATGGACGGTTCCACTACAGGATAAGGTTTGCGGCTGCTCTTCTTACACTTGCAATGTAACTCTGTAATATCAAGCTTTCAGAATCACTTTCAAAATAATCATGTCACTCCGACTGTTCTTTACATCATTACTTTTCTACACCATCATTATGCGTTCACTAAAACTTCAACTTTCATGTTTTTATTGTTATCGGGCCTTTCCATTGCCCTCATTTCGCCTATGACGGAAAAATCCCAAGATTGCTCCTTTATAAAGCCCCATATAGATTGAAGTGGACGAGTGCTCCGGTACTAGTCATGTTGTATGCAACAGAAATCCTTGTCGCATGCAGCAGTGCCACATCAACAGTATGCGTATCGAAGTTGCTTGCCAGTCAGAACGCGTCACGGGGCAATCTGTAGACGGGTGAAGCGAAAGAAAAGGGCGGAGCGCAGAAAGAAAATTTGTTCAATTTGCAGGACCACTTTCTCATTTTTGGAGCATCATTAAGAGACCGGACCACCGCAGTAGGTCTGGTTTTGAGGCCTGCTCATAGATTAAGTGGTAACTTGGAGTCTTGAATTCTGAGTGAACATTGCCTTGAATGAATAGTTTTAGAAAATAACGGATGTTATTGTAATAGACACATCATCCACAACAGACACTCAAAATATCAAAGTCTTCAAGACTCCAAAGTTGAATCCTTGAAATGTTGGAGAAGAAAATTTACTCAACAGAAAGATTTACCAATTCGATATCTAGCTACTTTCGCAAAACTCAATTTGAAACTGAGGAATGTTGAAGGGAGAACATGATATTTCATATTCGATGATTATTATTCAAGGTGCATCGAATAGAATTCGAACATGGCACAACCACAGGAAAGCGAGTAATCCGAGTGGATGGCAAGGTTTGAAATCTTCGAATCAAAAGTATAGCTTTGTATGTGTTTCAAAGGAAATCTTACGACGAGATTGGATGTTCAAATTGGTCGGAAAGGAAACGTTTCAGCTTGGAAAAATGAAATGCACTATCACAGTCGAAGCGCTTGGCACATTTGCTTACGAATACTCATTAGAGGTTTGGGAACTGCTATCAAATTTTAATGTCTCAGAGTTTTTCAATGATTGGAGCTGCTTGATGATTCAGAACAAATATCACTAAACAAAATGCACAAACCATGTTTTTAGGTGAATGGGAAAAACTACGAGAAATTTCGAGAAGAACAAAGCAGGAAATTATTGTGTTGGGAAACACATATTGGTGGAGAAGAGACGAGAATCGTACTGGGTAAGTTGTTGCTTAGCAAAAGTGCTTTCAAAAAATCTGGAAAAGTTTTCTTTAGAAAAAACATTCCCCCTTCTTTCACCTCCCTAAGCTCACCATTTTCGAGTTCAATCTAGCAAACATTCACTTTACTTCAGAACGACGTTCGAATTTCTCTGTTTTATTGATAAGCTTCCGGGGGGAAGACACAGTAAGCAACTTTTCTTGTTTTAGAGTAGGAAACCGATTCGTAGCAGTGAACGTGAACGCAGCTGCTCGCATTGCCTGCATCAGTGAATAGACTATATAAATTCAATATGATCGCCACCCATAAGAGGAGACAGAAAGGCCAGTCTTACGAATGGAAGGGCGCGAGTAACAAAAGAATTTTCTTTGGGAATTTCCTTAGATTTTTTGCACAACTGAAATTTTGAAAAGGCGCGAAATTTGTTCTTGAAGAACATTTTCGCACAGTTAATTTGTACTCTGAATGCAGAAATCTTTTTGATCGTTACCGTTGAAAGCTGCTTGCAGTTATAATCAGGGTCAAGCAAGGGGTGTGGCACACGATCGCTGGTTACGACTCCCCCCCCCCCTGATTGCTGTCTTATTAAGACTCCCCCCCTGAATTATATACCTAAGATAGCATTACCTGAAGGCCCTGTCAAACATAATGGGCAACATATCCATAATTAGCATGTCAATTAACCCCTGTAGACAAAGTTTGAGCGAATTCTGAAGATTCAAGATACTAGGCTACCTAAGTGAAATGGTCATGTTCCAACATGGTTAACTTTGTTTCAAAGGTGAATTAGCTCTCCGTTTTTGCACTCAAGGCAAAGCACTACTCCTTCTTTGTCCATCTCAGGAATCCCGCTTCAAAAGACCTGCAAACTGTGGAATTAGAAGCCAACCAAAATCTCATTTTTCCCATTTTTCGCTTTTAATGGCTGTGCTTTCACCAAATAATATGCAGAGCTAAGAAAACGAATCAGGCTCAAAACATTCCTATGGAATCTATGAGGTTTAGACTATCGACTCATATAAATACTTTCCGCTAAAAATGTTCTTTTTGATATAGTTAATGGGGTGTGGCACCGCCCCTAAAAAGCTGTGGCAGCCACAGGGTGTATTTGGTGAAAGCACAGCCATTAAAAGCGAAAAATGGGAAATATGAGATTTTGGTTGGCTTCTAATTCCACAGTTTGGAGGTCTTTTGAAGCGTGATTTCTGAGATGGACAAAGAAGAAGTAGTGCTTTGTCTTGAGTGCAAAAACGGATAGCTAATTCACCTTTGAAACAAAGTTAACCATGTTGGAACATGACCATTTCACTTAGGTAGCCTAGTATCTTGAATCTTCAGAATTCGCTCAAACTTTGTCTACAGGGGTTAATTGACATGCTAATTATGGATATGATACGAATATCATGTTATCACTATTACCAGATTAAGCTACTACGACCCCCTCCCCTTTTGACTCCTCAATACGACCCCCCAGGTGTGGCTTGCCACACCCCGCGCTTGACCCTGGCTATAATTGTAGACACGCTCAAAAATTGCTGTATTAGTTAACCTCTCCCCACCCTCAGTTCGTCGCTGCGCCGACACATTTGTCCAAATCGCATCTATTATCATTGACGTTATAGCTGCAATAGCTAAACTAACCTTTCGATCAAGTTATACAATGTAATTTCCAGAAAATAAAAATAAAATGAAGACAAGCACTCAATAAAAATCATCTTCCACTCACTATGAATTAGTTTGATTTTTAATTCAATTCTAATAAAGCCTTTTATTTCAGATAAAGAAACGATGGAAGTATGGGTAAATGGGAATAAAATCGACACCGCTGTGAGTATTCGAATTTTACGACTCCAAAGACTAGTCTTTTCTTATTTTTATTTTTAGGGTGAATTTGTGGCTGATGGCACCGAGACTCATTTTGAAGTTGGACGACATGTATGCAAAATTCGAGCCACGAGTAGTGGTCGAAAGAAAATCGGTGTTGTGCATGATTTGTACGTTGACGGCGAGCCAGTCCCTCAGATGACGTTTTCGAAGGCGCGATAAGTTTGTCGCGCCACTCATCTTGTATTTATTTTGTGTATATTTACATACGAGTTATTTGTAAGTCGAAGGCAGCATCCATCCAAATCTTTGCTTTCCATGTTTTTGTTAAACTAGAGCCTTTCCGTTGGCCTGATTACAGGTATTAAATGCAGAAATCACAAAACCCTGAAAGCGATTTTCGGATCCCTATCCTAAAGACACAGACGACCTTAGTACCTGGGTGAGGGGAGCCTGATAGAGCTGGCGTGCTTGATAGCATTCTCTCAAGTTCCAGGTTCTTTTCTTCCCTTCAAGGTCACATTAGAGGACAGGATCAATACAGATGTCCTACTCCTAGGGCCTCCTTGTAAACTAGGTACTAATCGTGGAAGCATAGCATTTGCCTGGCCGCTGCCCTCAATGTGTCAGTGCACAACCGGCGCGGCATTCCACGACTTATGCGCTGGCAAATCGTCAATCTCCAGCCCTTACAGTTATTTTCTCGTTTTAAAGGTTACAAACAGATGCGAGTGATCGTTTCTACAGATTTTTTTTACTTTGTACTGTCTACCAGTAAATAGTCGTGAGATTCCGCGTACGGTTTACAACCACTCGCATCAATTACATGCGTGGATCTCGGCCAATGCGCATGCCTCTAATTCAAATGCTACAAACAAAGATATCATGTCTAATATGTGAGTGGGTGTGTCTGTTCGTAAAAAAGAGTTCTATTTTTATTTCATGAATAAAAATTTGCTACTTAATGCTGTCATGGTGGAGGAGTTGATTATTGAAAATTGCAAGATAACTGGCACGCACGGACCGAAAAGCCAAGGATGGGAGGCTTCCTTTCCAGAACGTAATTTACTTTTCCGACTAGACTACTACCCTTTTCAGGTGTATAAGCCGCGGGGTGGTCCTAGCTTACATCGGCCAGCTTGAACACATCAAAGGACTAGCAACCAAAAGACCCAACACCGTGCTGCGTATTGCCTGAAAGAATCGTGCGGCACAAGGATCGCTTCTCGAAATACGATGAAGCGGTTGAGCAGCGCGTGGGAAAATTTGAAAAAGTGCGGCTTATAGCTGACTGGTTTCCTTGAAAGGATGTCTTGAGATTAAACTTTGTTTATTCTTTGAAGATTTTTGAACGATAATAAGGATAAAAGCGAATGTTAGGTGAGTAGAATGGATGGAAAGAGTAAGCGAATGATCTGATAAATGATTTCTCGAGAGAGTGCTTAAAGTTATGAAAATCCTTCTTTGTTGATTCTTCACCTCACATATAAGAATTTTTTGTTTTCTCATTCACCAGCGAATCTGAAACTTGAAATGTGCAAATGAGCTTTCCCCCTATTTAATCCAGTCCAGTATTTATAGAGGGGGACGAGCGGCATAGTGGTATGAGGTGCCGCTATGACCAGATCGGACACAGGTTCGATCCCCGCTTCTGGGCCAACCAAGCCCTCTACCCTCCGGGGCCTGTAAATTGATACCGGAGTAATTTGGGAGGATAAAAGCACTGATTTGGAAACGGTTGGCCCCCACAAGTCACCGTAATAGGCTCGCACCAGTGGGCGCCCCCCCCCCCCTCCTCCGAGAATGGGTCACGAAATTTTTGAAACTTACCTACATGGGTTATAAAAATGTGCAAATGACTTGTTTAGTTTCGTAAATAATAAAAATAATAATTTTTTCAAAAATTCAAATTAGCCCTGAAAAAAATATTTTTCGGGAGCGTGGCTGACGTCACGCTCCCTTTTTCTAGATTTTAGGGCTCTTAGGACCGAAATAACTTCAAGAAGCACCCCAAAATATTCTTTGGAGTGCGTGGCTAACGCCACGCACCATTTGAAAATTTTTTCCGCGCCTCCCCCGGACGGAAATCATGGGACCGCCACTGGCTCGCACGCATACAGTTGCCTCTTCGACTATGAAATCAGTGTGTGCGTTCTGCGCATGCCTTCAGAGGGAATTGAAGACACTGAATCCTTTATCCTTAGTATTTATAGAGAGCAATTTTTATGTCTTTTTTTATTTTACTTTTACAGTAAAATGTTAGCTAATAGGAGTAAACGACGAACCAGTTCGTCCCTCTAGATTCAAGATGAAATTTTTATCTATATGTTTTACACTCAAGTGTGCCACCCAAATTATGAAATACTGTTAGTATGGGGCCAGTCGTCCTAGACATTCGCAGAACAAAGAATGCTCGTACTTTGATGACTTTGATGTATAAGTAAAAGGAACTACTCATACGGGATAATGTACCTACTATAATGCACCTGTACCAATAATTCATACACTTTACCTTACGATTATTTCATATGAAATAATCTCAAGGTATAGTGCATGAATTTTTGCAGAGAAAGACTTCTGAGCATTTGTTTCTGCTTTGAAGGAAGGCTGCGGAATACCGGTGTGCGCACTTGCATGGGTCCTTTAGTTTTTTAAGGCAATGTAGAAAAGAGACATTCACGTCATGGATTCGTACCTTCGATCGTCTTGTAATTTTCTTGTGTATTCTTCTCAAATAAGTTGCTACATTAGCAAATTTTGAAAATTTCTGTTCATTTTCACGATCATCGCACTTCGTCGATTCCAGTGGCCATTCAATGAAGATCCAAATAAATGGCAGCCTTCCTCGTTTGAGACTAGCTGCTAACAATCCGTAGAAATTCACTCTGGAAATTACCGTAACTGGGCTCTTGTTAATGAAAATGACTTAAACTTTGCAGTATAGTGCGCATGTTGGCCGACCGTAACTCAAAACTGCTTCCTATTTCTCTGATTTTGAACCGAGAAGGTTACAAAAAATGCAAAATCCCTATTAAAAGCTCTACACTGTTAAATTTACCTGCTTTTGAACCACTACCGCGTATTTTAACTCCTGAGTCTTTTTGTGCAGCGTAAAAAAATGAATTTGCAAATCCTGCGACCTGTAGTCTTGTTCATAGAAATATAATCACTCATTTTTGCTTTGAGAAACATCAAAATTTGTTTTCAAAAACACTGCGAGATTGCTTCCTTTTTTTCGTCAAAAGCGCCACAGATTGTTTCGCGCGCCATGAAGATTCTTGGCTTATGCATCCACGAGATGAGCGCGAACTGCGCAGCAAAACGATCGTTGTGCGCATTTTCCATTTGTGAGTTCTGGGGTGCAGCTTAGCATGCTTTGAATGAAGGGAGAGAAATGGACTTTCAGAAAAAGGAAATTAGGGCTTTGGCGAAAATTACCGGAATATGAAAACTGTATACTTCAACTTGAAATGCTTGCGAGGGAGTTTGAGCAGCGCTATATAACCGGGACCCAACTTTTCAAAGTCGTGAATTTTCGCTGATATTCGGTCCATGGGGATCACGAATATTTGGTGGAGCAGCGATGGGTATAGGTAGGGGTCAAAATCAGTTTTGCTTATATTTGGTCTAGGGGTTTTTTTGAGTGCTGGCCACGCATATCATACTCGCTCTGCGTTTTGGGACCTGTCCATGGAATTACGGTGGGTATGCGGCTTGAGTGAAACCATATTTTTGCTCTAAACTTCGCCTCAGGGTGTATTTGTTCCGCTGAACATGACTGCCGCACGATTTCTCAGAATAGCGCCATTTTTTTAGTGCGGCAGGTGTACGGTAGAGTCGCAATTCTAAATTTGCTCGAAACTCTGCTTAGAAGAGTTTTCAAGCATGCCGAGCGAATCTTATGCGTGTTCGCTGCATCAAAGGCAGTGGCCCGTAGTAAAGCTCGATCAGTTCATGTGAACTGAACTTAACCCATCATTTGAGTTTAGGTCAGGTGAACTGATGACCGCCCACTTTCCCATGCTATAAGCATAGCTATGAACTGATAGTTGACTATCTGTCCACCTGCTGCAGTCAACTCTTGCACATCATTCACGTTCAGTTGAGCTGAACGTGAACTGATGTTAGATTGATGCAAATAGTGTGGAAAAGAGGAGACGCAGACAAGATTTCCGTAAGTTGCTCCTGAGTAACTTACGATACACATCAGTTAGGCTAAAAATGCAGACAAAATCGACGCAAAACTGCACAACCGCGCCCGTAAAGGAGAGGATCGATAAACAGCTGATTTTGGCGAGGAACAAAAAAACAAATTCTCCTCTTTTTTGCAAACATTACTGATTTTTTTCACCAGCTATCAAAACGAGAACTTATTTATTTATTTCATTAAATTCACGCTGCAACCATTTCGTTTTTTCATAAAATTTTCGTCACAAATTGTGTTTTCGTTTTATCCGTGCATTTGCCAGGCCAAATCCTTGATAGCGGTCATCATCGATTGCATAGTGGCCGCTATCAAAGACTGCCCAGCGATGCATCAAGCTGTGTCGCTAGTCGGAGTCGAACCACGGCCGCACGCGTGTAATTCCAACCGCTTACCCTTTTGACCAAATCAGCTCAATTGGTTCCTTTTCCAAGAACACCCTTGATTGCAATGCCTCGCAAGCGATCCGCATCCAGATCAATGGCTCGCCGGATGCTAAACTGAGGCGTGATGAGATCAACTCCGGTCCGCAGCGAGAGAGATACCCTGATGACGAGTTCACTACGGGCCAGTGTCCCACCAAAATTGGGCTAATGTGGGTCTCCACAAATTTTGTTAGAAGACCCCTTGGGTAGGTCACTGCTTCACGCCCGACTCGATCAGGGCCCTTTTAGCCCGAAAATTTTGCCCTCAAAGTGCGATTTGGCCCGCACGGCCGACGCTCCCGGTTTCCCCCTTATGCGTTTTGACATCTCCCTCCACTCGGTGTCTACTTCCGTGGTATTGCTGCCACTGTGGAGAAGGCTAGGCTGCGAAGGCACAACTCGTCCGCACTGCTTCCCCAGAGCCCAAAAAACGGGGTTTTTCATATTTTATGCGAATTCGGACCCGCCTTAAGTTAGACAGGGACAGAAAGGCTTGCTATACAAAAAATCTCGACAGCCAAATTTTGATGAGGCACTGTCTTCAAAGTTATCATTGAGATGGCAGTTTGCAGCGAGCGTAGGGATGGAATTTTCGTCCTTTGAGTCATTTAGATCACAAAAATTTATAGAGACTTTTATACGAAATAGGCGTTTCAGACAGGTTATGATTTTGACCCACTACCATATACCTACCATAACCTCATGAAAAGG